GTCAAATGCTAGAAACCTGCCGCATTCATCGGCATCAAACACTGCTTGCTTCTTAACTTTTCTTTGCAATTTCTATGCTCGTGTTTTTCAGTGAAACGTGATAGGAAAGGAAGGAAAGCTGTCACTTTCAATGTGGAGATCCGGGCATATTACGCTGTGCTCTTGCAGATAATAGCACCCGTGGTAGGTTGCAAAACTAACAGGTTGTAAAGAACTTACCTTGTTTAATGTGCCTTCAATAGAATTGTTTTGAATGATTAGCCCTCTATAATTCAGTGAATGTTCTAGCATTAGAGCGGAAAAAAGTTCATGTCGATAGCGAGAAAACAACAGCAATTGGCAGTACATTTTTGCCTGTCCGTCTGAAAGCAGAACATGAAAATCTAGAGACATTTGTTTGACTCAATCTATACCTATGTAGCACTGCCGAACTCTTGAGATATCAGTGTCAATCTTTGAAGGTTGAGTGTGAATGTGAGAAAAAATGATAGAGAGATGTTCCCAGTTTTGCTGTAGCATGATGTCCGCCTAAGGAATAAAATTTTCTGAGCCAAGCTAGAACTAAAGAATGCTACAAAAACGGGGAAAAAACAAACAAAGTATTACTTTGTCGATGATAGCTATTTGAATACTAGATATAAGGTGGCTTTCCTTTCCAGCTTCACCATCCAGAATCATACGAAGGCCAAGAGGAGAGCAGAGAATGAAATCAGACTGTAAAATTGAGGTGGCAGCAACAAAAATAACGACACTGTATGACAAAGTTAAAAATATGGTTGAGCATATGCACCTTGTCAAAACCTTCGTATAATTTTAGAATTTTCTTAGATAGAGCTATTCCAACACGAAAACAGTCGTCATTATTTCCTGTTAAGAGTTCCTGAAAACGAGCTCCGTCAAATAAACTACAGGAGAAAAAAAATGGAACTAACCTTGAATTCTTCTGGCATTCTTGTTTTAAAATCAGGAGGGTCCTCGCTCTTAAATTCGGTTTCAAAACGTTCCTTGTTCCAGACTGAGCCTTTTCCTTCTACAAAAAAATGATGGAAGCGACATAAGAGAAGAAAAAAAGCACACAAAAGCTCCACTAGCCTCCACCAAAGACCAATTTTTCCAGTCGATGTACAATATCAAAAGCATCTTTCTTGAACGGGCAAAGAATAAGCACAGTAGCTCTCACAAAACCTTGGTCACGCGAAGACTCAATAAGCTCTTCAGAAGGGAGTCCCTGTAAGACTAAGTTGGAGGCAGTTAA